GGGCGGGGCAGGGCGGGGCCGCCGGCCGCTTAAGCGGGAGCCGGTCGTTGTGGGAAAGCATCCTGCTCGCCTAAGGCAGGGGATGTGCTGCCTCGCCAGCCTCGAAACTCGACCGCTGGCGGCAAAACGCGGTTAAAGAAACAGCCGCGGTGCTTCAGCTTCAAGGGTTGGAGGGAGGTGGAATCAAGTCCCGTAACACAGACCTGCCCACGGCACTTCTGTCGTTTTACTACTTTCAGAAGGTCCAGACGTACTGATTCTCCTCACACGACTTTCTCTTCAGCTGAAAAGCGCTTTTTTTTTTCTTTCACACCCTGAACAAAGTAAACCTTTATTAAAAATAAAATAAAACGAAAAAATCAGTACAAACATATCCTTGGGGAAAAAAAAAAAATCAGTAAGGTCAGGACAGAACACATATTTAGTGAGCAACAGCCCGTGTCAGCACAATACTCGTGACAGTGTCTCAACAAAAGCGTGTCCAATGCACCAAACAGTGGAAGATTTTACATCCATCAACCAGTCCGCCTGCGGGTGGACAGAGGAAGCCCCGCTCCCCAGGGATGGATCACTGCCCAGCAGCAGCTAAAGTCCTGCGCATGAATGAGGAGTCTTGAACCGTTTGTGGCCAAAACCTCCAGTTGTCTATTTTAAGGGGCAGAGCCAGAAGTAAGCAGCTTTTTCGGAAAGCAAATTTTTGAGTAAAGGACCTCAGAAATTTGTCACCAAAGTGATTTCTAGCATTCTTGATATTAAAACGTTTTTAAAATGCTGTTTGGACAACATTGTATTCTGGAAAGATATTCAAAAAAGCACTTTCTTTCCAGTAAGTAGTCCCATGTTGATGTTTTCTTATTCACACATGTGCAGTTTCCATTCCAAAATCATTGAAGAGATTAAATTGTCCTTATTATTGGTAAAACAGCAAAGCCATTCCAATCCATTTAAATCATACCAACTCTGTCTGCAAATAAGCCATTCTCTATACAGAAAACCCAGGTCCCTGAATCAAAGCTCCACACTGTCCTTCTAAAAATAATGAAAAGGAAGAGTATGCACCTCCTTGCACAACCCTCCCCACTACCCCACCCCGAGCAGCTCTGCCGTATTTCAGAACGTTGTTGGGGAGGTGAAGACACGTCAATAGAAATGACCTCGAGGGTGATACTGGGGTTACAGTCTGCCCATAGCCCCCTTGCCTTTGCCTTCTTCCTGCTCAAAGAGAGCGGCGTAGTGTCAATCAGTGCTCCTTGTCTCTGGAGACACACACAGCTGGGAAGGGGAGGAAGAGTCAGCACATCTGGGCTGGGCTGCTCAGCATCATATGTTACGGGCAGCATCCCAGACACTGCTGTTAGTGGCTACTCGTGCTGGTAACTCACACATTTAGAGTCATTGTAGTTCCAGTGGCGGTCCCCAGAGCTGCTGGTGCTCACCAAAGAACTGCTCTAAAGATTATGGGCAGCTGAAAGGCATCTGCACAGCTAGAGCTACTGAAAGGAATTATGCCCTGGAGGAGAAGACTTGAAAAACTTGGTGACTTTCATAGTCTTTGTTCTCTCCAAAGATACTGTACGCTGTGTGATAGTGGCTTCAGAACACAGCTTGGTATAGCGTGTCTTTTTTCTGCCCAGTCTAGCTGGCAAATCTGTTACATCCTCTCAGCTCCACCGTTGACTGTGTTTTATGCAGAAGACCCGAGTAGCTGGAGAGGCAGACGTAGCACGTAGGACTCCTTGGAAATTCTGCCATTTGTGAGGTCTTTAGTCCTCAAGAATACCTCCGCACAGATCCTCACATTGCTGTCACCAAGCTCTGTTCCTCAAGACACTTTCCTCATTGTCCTGTAGAGGGGATTGCCCTACCATACTTAGGTTTCAACCTAAAGCACTCTGAGATCTACAGTGGAAACACTGCACAGGTGTGTGTACTGCTGCTCTTCAAGGCTAAATCGAAGTTCACGGGTAGAGGTAAGGAAATTAAGTACGCAAGCTCAATTTTAAATAACAATATGGCTTTAATCATTCCCTTTCATATATCTTCAAGACATGATACACCCAACATTTTTGAAAACAATAAATACAGGTACAACATTCGAGCCAAATTAACTTTTCTAACCAGCTGAGTGCTGACAGTCATTGTGCAATGTAAGCTTTGCTTCTCTTTTTTAGGGAGAGACTTCTGGCTGTATTGGTAGCCAAATTGCAGGAATTTTAACCGTATCGTACATAACTTCATATTCAAACCAGTATTCGCAACAACTGATGTATGAACAGCATTCATCATATAAATATATGTCCATAAACCTTCATTCTTCCAACCAGCTACAGAACTTACATAATTACTCAAATTTGTATGTAAATTGCACCCTTGCCATTTAAATTACTTTTTAAATGTCTTCACAGATACATAGTACATATATGGTCTACATGTCATGGTAATTTCATTGCCTGAGTCCATTGTTGAAATGTGATTTATAGCTATTTTTAACAAAATATGAGTAGAAAAATCATATCGATAAGGGTTACAACATATAAATAGCAATGATAGAAAAATAGATATATTGTACATAATAACACAATATGCCTGTGTAACACCAAATCTACTAAACTTTATTTTGGCCTGCCACAACATCCAGTTATTCCAGATCTAAACAGAAGCATGGACAAAACTCAGGGAATTTAGTATTATTTCACAGTAACATGGCACAGAAGTTAAAATAGCAAAGTTTCTATGGCCTGGGCTTTATGAACATGGAGAATTATTTTTCACGGTCATGGATTGGCAACATAGCTCAGCCATTTAGGGTTTGAAAAAGCTCTGTGGCACCATTGTCGAGACAGAAAAATTCCTCCTTCTCTGAACATGCCTTTTGCCTCTCATACAGAAGGCACAGCATAGCTGTACTGCTGGAGCTGCAGAGCAGAGACTCATCCCGTGCAATTCATGTCAGTTAATTCTTGTGCTATTTCTATGTATCAGAATGGTGCATTGTCATTTTCTTGTTAAAAATCAGATTTTTAAAATATGTATCAAAAAAGCTAAAATTCCCAGGATGTGCTCATGCTGATCCTGGTCATTACATTATTTTTGCTAATGAGAGGAATCAATTAGCTTTTATCATTTGTGACATTACGCATTGACATTACATGCTCAACTAAAAGGACACTTGGGGACAAATGGAGTGGGTCCTCTCTCCTCATGCACCAGAGGAGGTGCATGAGGTGAATCAGTGTATTTTCTCTGAGTATGGGGAAAAAAAAGTAGATGAACACACAGATAACTACAGAGCTCCAGAGAAATTCTTTAATTTTTAGATAGACCTGTCTCTAGTTCATTATCATCCTGGTAAATACAAGGAACTTTAAAAGTTACTGCAGCACTCCTCTGGAATAAGACATGCAATTTTGGGGAGAAAAAAAAAGGATTCACTGATATGAGGTGAAAAGGGTTACTTTTGGATGTTCAGGAGAATGGAAAGCCTATCTTAAAAGTGGAGACTAAAGGACTGGGCTTGTTTATCCCAGCAAACAAAGGCTGGGAGAGGGTTCTGTTTGATCTGTAATACAGAGCCAGGTGGGAAGAAGAGCTCCTTAAACAATTGGACATTGAAGATGCAAAAAAAGTGGGCTAAACCCATATGTTCCTGCCTTCGTGTCGGTGAGAAATAATAATTTACTGATGCTTCTGCCTCACTCGGGGGAGTGAGAGCGCAGAAGAGGTTCCCGACGGTCTACATGATGGGGCCAAGGAAGGGAGGGAGCTGCTGAAGGGGACTGCACCTCGTGGTGCCCACAGCAGCAGGGGCTGGACTCTGTGAGCAAGGCAAACCTTGCAAATCTGGTAATGGATAACTGCTTAAGTACTGGAGGAGAAGGCATTTCGTGTGGCCTGCTCGCCTCGGGGATGCCAAAAGGAAAAAGGCCTGAAAGCGAAATGGCTCCCTAAGATGGCTTTTCATCTTCTAGTACTTTAACGCTGGCCAGTCATATGCTGGAGAGTCTTTTCCTGGCCACAGTCCTTGCGGTATTTTTAGGAAGAACTTTCCCTTTTCTTAGCGTCTGCCCAGGCACTTGGAAATGGCAGTTTCCATTCACAGAGTTTTTCTCAGATTTACGTGACTCTGAGATAGTGGCTCGGGAGCTGGAAGACTTTGAATCCAAAGAAATCTGACTAACAGCAACGCTGCCTGCGCTCTTGGAGGAATATGTGTAAATCATTTTGAGAAAGGCAGATTTTGTGTTTGTTTCTTGCTTGTAAATGATGATATAGCACTTTGGAAGAAAAGTGCAGCAGAGAATTCCATAATTGGATATTAAAACGACAATGATTTCCACTGCTGGCAGGTATTTGCCAAATGTAGTTGCATAGACAGGGATAAATACAATCCACGCTATAAAGTAAATTAGCATGCCAAAGGTGATGAATTTAGCTTCATTGTAGTTCTCCGGCAACTTCCTACCTTTAAAGGCAAATATGAAGCAAATGAAGGCTAGGGCAGCGATGTAGCTCAACATAATCCCAAAAGCCACAATAGAGCCCTCATTGCACTCCAGAATTATTGCTCTTGGGATGGAGAAATTTTGCTTTACAAAAGGTGTCCTGAATATTAGCCAGAAGGTGCAAATGATAACCTGAATTCCAGTGCAGGTGACCACAGTGGGAATAGGTTTATACACGCATTTCAGGAAATTCTGCAGCTTGGGATCAAAGCTGAAGGCTAGTAAAATTTTTAGTGACTTTATTAAAATACATGAAATGCAGAGTGCAAAACTTATGCCAAAGAGGGCTTGCCTAGTTTTACACTTGAATTCTGTGGGTTCATCTATGAAGAAGACGGTGCTTAAAAAAATTAAGAAGTGACTGAAGAGAATAATATAGCAGACAGTTAGACCTCCAGACGCCTTTACAACCGGCGTGTTCAAGTTTTTAGTAAATATTACACTAATTGACAAAACCAACACAACCCCAAAAGCGGAGAGGAGGAGGAGGAAAATAGCAAACCAGTCGGTCCAGGCGAGGAAATGGATTGTCTTTCTGTAGCATGTGGTGCTGTTGACAGGAGCCCAGTAGGTTTTGTTGTTACATCGGTAGCAGTAATCCATATCTGAAAGCAGAAGACGGGAGGATAACTTAGAAACCCGAAGTAAATAAACTGCAAAGTGGATTATCGAGGCTTGAGATACAGGAGCCATGTGGGAAGAGATGCTAAGGGGAATAGACAGGGCTGGTTCCTTCCCACTATTGCTGTCGCCGTCCAGGTGGAGGAGCTGCAGGGGAGCGGTGGCAGAGGTGACAGCAGTGGCAGAGGTGGCAGAGGCAGAAGGAGCAAAGGACGAATGGGTGCCAGCTGGGAGCAGGGGCTGCCAGCAGCCAGGGGCAGGGGGGGACAGGGAGAATGACCAGGGTCCTGAAAACTGCCTTGGTCATCGCTGAGCGGTGATACATGTCCTGGCCAGAGCTCTGGACAGGCAAACCTTAACTGAACAATGGCTTGAGATGAAATCTATTATCTTACAGAAATTTGAACTATGTTTCTTTCATCTACCTATCCCAGCAAGAAAAATCCTCAACTTTCTCTTTACAGTCAGCTTTCGAAATGCAGCAGCAAGAATAAACATTCCTTTAGATCATGCTTTGAAAGGTTACTTTTGCTTTAAAATTCCTATCCTCTGATATGGAGAAATTTCACAATTATTTGAATTAAAAAGATAAAATTGAATTTCCTTCTGCTCTCAGGATATTAGAAGTACATTGTACCCCAGATTTCTTAATTCCATCTCTCTCCTCCATATTTAATTTCCCCCTTTAAAAAACTTTGCTCAAGCCTATAAATGAACCAGTGGTAAAGCACACATCAGATTTGATATTAGAAAATATTACTGTACAGTCATATCAAACTTTGCAGCATTCCCTGGCAAGCTAAAAAATATGCTGGTAAGCAAAATACATAACCCTTGAACTTCATAGACTCATAGAATGGTTTGGGTTGGAAGGGACCTTAAAGATGACCTAGTTCCAACCCCCCTGCCATGGGCAGGGACACCTTCCACAGACCAGGTTGCCCAAAGCCCCATCCAACCTGGCCTTGAACACTGCCAGGGATGGGGCATCCACAGCCTCTGAGCAACCTGTTCCAGTGCCTCACCACCCTCACTGTAAAAAATTTCTTCCTTATTGAACTGGGTGTACCGCAGAAGGAGGGGGAAGCAAGGCTCTATTTTAATGAGAGTCAGTCTCACTGATAAATCAGCCAGACTTTCCATCCTAACAAAGAATAATGCTAGTCAACTGGAAAATCTAATTGCTTTACATCTGGTCTTCTAAAAAGCATTTAAGTTTTATAGGCTGATCACTCATATTTGGGAAACTGAGCATAAATATTTCAATCCCATTCCAAAGTTATACCCAAGGTTACCAAGGCACATTATACCCAAACAAAACAATTGTATTGATGTCTAAATAAACCTTTATTTGGATCACAATTCCTTACCTGTTTGATTGCTGTAATGGTTTTCTGGGCAGTAAACACACTCGTAGCAGCATGTGTGTGGACTTTCTGTAACCTTTTTCATCTGTCCTGGCCTGCAGTGCTGGGAGCAAGTCGACTGAACCTTCTGCAGTGTGCAGAGAACAAAAAAAAAAAAAAAAATCAGCTCAGGCACAACTAACTACTAAGAAACATTAAAATAAACCTCCAGTAATTCTGCAATTTTCACTCTCTTTTTGTATCTAACGTATTTTAAGGAAAT